TTCTGTTGAGAGAGTTGTTGCTATTCTTTTCTTCGATCTCCTGTTGAGTTTGTAGGTGTTCAGAATGGTTTGATCCCTATCCATCTGAATTCCTGAGACCAGACGAAATCCAGGTCTCCTACTCCTCCGCCATGTTGCTCCTGACCAGAAGAAAAGATTTCTTTAGCAGCCTCTGTAGATACTTGGAATGTACACATTCCTTAAGGTCTCTGTATTTAGATTTAGCTTTAAAAATGTCATTGTACTTTTTGGCTTTGGCTTTGGCTTTTGGGTGCATTTGTTTGTTTTCAGTATTTGGTAAAGGTAGGACTATATTTGAAATAAAGAAAAATATAGCTATAAATATACTTATTTATTTAGATGGATAGTCAACAAAATGTTAATACAGGTTACCTGCAGATATTAAAATTATGAGTTATTTTAATCTTTGTGCTTTTCTGCATCATTCTAGTTTCTATAGTCAGCATGTATGATTTGTGTAATCACACACAGTATGAAAAATTATTTATTTATACTAATGGGACATTTACATACTTACTAAGAAAAAAAACAGATTAAATGGAGGGCTTAATCCCGTTTTCAGAAAATTCTCTTGTTACAAGAACAGTCATTAACTTTGACCACAAACGGAAAGGCAATTGCATGGATAATATCATCCATTTAGATTGATGGAGTTATTAGGATGATAAAGCTAGGGAATGTACATATAGTAGTATATCTATATTTTAGCAGAGTATTTCTCATGGTATCTGTAAAACTTCATTAAGGTGTTGGCAGGATTTCAGTGTGGTTAGATGGTGTCATAGTTTTTAAGTGACCATCAGAAAGTAGGTAAGTTAGTGTTTGTGGCAAAGTTCTGAATCTGCCCATATTTTATTAAACAACTTTATTAATGAAAACAGATGACATATTTATTGTAATTTAAGTAATAAGGTACCCAACCTAGCTGATGTCCGACCAAAGCAGCTTGTTCAGAAACAAGCATAATTGGAAAAGGTGTTTAGAAAGAGCAAGAAGTTGAAATTATTGTATTTCTCTGAATTTATAGATATGGGTGTTAAAAGTTATTAACTGGTAGGGAGGTTCCTCAAAAAATGAAATATAGAAATACTATATGATCCAGTAATTCCACTACTGGGTATTTACCCCAAAAATAAAAACACTAATTCAAAAAGAAATATGTACCCCTATGTCTGTTGCAGCAGATATTTATTTATTTGGTTATTTACAATAACCAAGATATGGAAACAGCCTAAGTGTCCATCAGTAGATTAATGGATAAAGACGTGGAACATATATGATGGGATATTACAGAGCCATAAGAAAGGATGAGATCTTGCCATTTGCAGCAACATGGATGGACCTAGAAGGTATTATGCTAGGTGAAGTAAGTCAGACTGAGAAAAAGGATTTCACTCATATGTGGAATCTAAAAAATAAATGAATAAAGAAGCCAAAAGCAGTATCAAATATATAAATATAGAGACAAACTGATGGTTGTAGAGGAGAGATGAGCAAAATGGGTGCAGGAGAGTGGGAAATACAGGCATCCAGTTTTGGAATGAAGTCGTCAGAATAAAAGATACAGTATAGAGAATCTAGTCAATGAAACTGTAATAGTGTTGTATGGTGGCAGATGGTAGCTACACTTGTGAGCAGAGCATGACATACAGAGACATTGAATCACTCTGTTGTATACCTATAGCTAATGTAATGTTATGTGTCAAGTATACTCAAAAAAAAAAAAAAGATGTTAACCAGAAATGGAGCAAGTCTAGATTGCTAATTGATTATAAAGTTATTGGAGAGGTGACATCAGAAAGTTTAATTTATGATGAATAAAGCCAACAAATTGCATATACAAATGGAAATAAAATATTAAACCTGAGTTTAATATAGTGACTATAAGTTTTCTGAGAATAGTTAAGAAGCCATTTTAAGTCTGCCAGCTTTGTGTATGTCTTTGTGCTTAGTTTTCAATATAGTTTACAACATTTCTAAATAAATCTCAATGTGACTTAATGGTAAAATGTACAGATTATTTTTCTCAGTGTCCTTCCTGCCAAGTACTCATAAACTGTAGGTAGGTTCATTGAGAGGCTTCTGTATAAATTTATGGGGCTATCAATTTTCTGGTTAATTGATCTTATACTTGATTCCAAACATGTTCAGCTCCATTAAATGCAATGTCATTCTTTTCCCAGGGGCTAGTTGGTTTCAGCGTCTATAAAAAGCTTGTTATAAGAAAGGAAAGATTTTCTATCATCCTTTGCTCTCTGACCATATACAAATTATTTTTTAAAAAATCATATAATCTTAGGAGTAGGAAATGCTTTTCAAAGCATGACACATAGCCTATGAATCATAAAGGGAAAAAATAGAAACATGCTGCACCACACACACACACACTAAATAAAGCAATAAAGAAAAACGTACTGCAAGACATTTGAAAAGGGCTAATAACATATAAACAATCATGTGATCTGTAAAAGAAAAACCAGAAGGGTATAGATTAAATGATTAGTAAGAATAATTATGCAAAGACCTTAGAAATACACTTTTGTATTTTTAGCAAATCACTTGCATTATTTTATAATAAAAATATATTTTAAAACTGAGGTCTTGTCACTCTACTTTTTTGGTCTGTTTGCTCTTTTTCCCTTTTAATAATTTATAAATAAGAGGACAAATGTATTTGGGAAAATACTTCTTTTTGTGTGACTCCTTGGGGAATATGTTTACCTGTCAGCACTTTGTTGGACCTCACACTTTTCCTCTATTTCCTATTTTCCAGTACACATTTATTCAATGCATAAATATGTTGAAGGTAAAGAGAATATTTACTGGCTCTAGATTAAGAGCTCAGTAATTTGGTTGACCTTGCAGCAGATCCCCAGAGTGCAAATGGGTGAAAATGGGGAAGAAAATATTCAGAAGAAAGAAAACCATGGCCATGTTTCTGTTTCCTAGGTGCTGACCTATCACAGAGTAGAGACCACAGGACTCTCTTCTGGGACTAGCTTCCTTCAGTAGAAATATTGGTCACATGGATCCAGCCGATACCTAAATTATAAGAAGAACAGGTAGGAAAAGATGTTCCCAGCTGAAGACTAGGTCCTGTGACACTCTGGGCAAGACCGTGCAGGGATGACCCATAGGGTGAGTAGAACCTTGGTTGGGAATGGTAAGAGGGAGATAAGGTTAGACTGGGGTTGGCAGGCGGGTCAGAGGAAATAAATCATGGCATGACTTAGGGATGGTACAGAGCTGGTTGTTTTAGGCACATATAGATGGCATTTGTAGTTAGTGGAGAATTCCTCACATCAGAAGAATGTTTGGTTGTGTTCCTCACTTCTGAAGTGATCCTGTTCAGCCTGTGATACTGTAAGAGTGATTAGGAAAAATGACGTCACACCTAGAAGAAAAGAGGGCAAGCTGGGCGTCCTTTTGTGTTTGGCTTCTTTCACTCTGCCTATTTTCAAGGCTCATCCACATGTAACAAGTATGCACACTTCGTTCCTTCATTTTTGCTGTATTCTTGTTGATTAAAATAAAAACACACAATCTGACCTGAGGATGTTGGCCCTCAGTTTAGTTTATGGGACTAAGTGAAGAAATTCACCTCTTCACACTATTCCAACTCACCATCTGAAGACCGTTAACAACAAAAGTGCAGAATTCTTTTTTCTTCCTTTTAAAATAAATCCTGTGCAAAACTAACACTACTGTAATTTTGTTGGTAATGCATAGCTAGCTAAAAAATTTAAGGTAGAGGTAGCTTCACAAGATAAAACAATTTTGCTTTTATTCACTTCTTGGCCTTTTCTGATGATGCTAGTAAGAATAAAAATGGAGTCTATAAGCAAATGCAAAATACTTATTTTTTGATAAGTTGTGATTGCTGAGATAGGAGATCTGAGCTGGACATGTTGGAATAAATGAAAAAAAAATATATTCAAAAGAGTTTCATATTATAAAAAGCTATAACAACAATACGACAACTATTCATGAAATGTTCAATGTTAAATAGCAAAAAGTACAGAATAATACATTGGGTATGATCCCAATTTTGGAAAAAGAAAAGCTACTTCTACAAACACATCTAACCTGTGTGTGTATTTGTGTGAGTGTGTGTAGAAAGAGTGTATATGTATATACAAACATATATGTATAGACAAAACTGACATACATTTATTTTCTCGGGAAAGTAATATAGCAGTATTGGGGCCAGGAGGGATGATTTCATGGTTTATTTTATGTATAATTGTATGTTTTTAATTTATCTTTAAAAAATGTCTTCTTTTTGTTATTAGAGAGGAAAAGTATATGCCATAGACTTGTGCTTTCACTTAAGACATTATACCAAAGCATATGTTGTGGTCTTTACTTGAAAATGTAGCCAGTAGCTGAGGTATCAGGGAGAAATATTATTATTAAAATGAACTATTAAATCTTATGGGAATACTCTCATATACCATAGATGGCAATGTGAATATGTATAAATATGTATATTTATATATGTAAATACGCATGTTTTCTGGGAAAATAATTTGATGTTAGGTATGAAGCACTTAAAATTTTTTAAATTATTCTGCCTTCTTTTGAGGAGAGTAAATTGAAAGTACTCCAAAGCCTATAATGAGTTGTCAGGGATATTAAGTATTCATATTCAGAGTGGACTGGATACAGAGTCATAAATATCCACTGCAGTGTTATTTATTATAACCAAACACTGTAAACAATCTAAATTTCTTGCAGTAGGCAGATGGTTAAATAAATTGTAGTTAAGTCCCCACAAAGTCTTTTAAATCAGTATTTATTGACATGGGAACAAGGTCTGAAATAACAATTTTGTTTTTTAACAGACTTGCAAATGATATTCACAAAATGTTATCTCTTTTATAAATATATACTCATATGTAAGAAAATATAGGAAGAACATATAATAAGTTGTTACTAGCTGTTACCCCTGGGTAGTAATGGGTTATATGTGGTTTTTAATTTATTTTGAAAACAAATTGGTAGTCTCTAATTAGAAAAAATGAAACTGTGTTTCCTTTGTCATCAAAAAATCAGAAAAGAATGCTTTTTAAAAGGGGGAAATTATAATACATTTCCCATAAGATTTATTTTCAATTCATAAAGATTAATGGGTTTTTTAAGGCATATATTGCCTTGAATTACCTGCTTTTCATGAAGTTCTTAAAGATAAACATTATTTTCCATATTTATCAAGAAGATAAATGTTATGACTGATGATATTTATGTAGAAAAATAATTTTTCTTTACTATTTAATGAAAAGGAGCTATTTCTCATCATTCACAGAAGAGAAAGACAATAAATCTCAAGTATTTTACAACTATCAGGTCAATGCAGCACATTTTTCTATCAAAGAATGCACCAAACTGTGAGAATGTATAATCCCTGCAAATGCTTCTATAGAAAAATGCCAATAGCTTCTACCCATAAAATGAGCGAGAATGACGCATTGTCATGAATGATGAGAAGAGGGAAGCACTATGTCACTAGAATGACATTTTTAGAATTTCAACTGCATGAAAAAAGAGATGTCAGAATAGCCTTTTTTTGTTGACGTTCATAAGAATTTATAGTCTTAGATGTCACAGATATTGTTATTTTATTACATTAATTTTTGAAGCCCATTCGTATGATCAGAAAGCATTTCATGATACTGATTAACAACTGCCTTGTACCAGGCACTGTTCTAAACCTTGAGAATACAAATGTAATTGGCTCTAGAGAAACTCACAGTCAAGGAGAACTTATTGCACCTATGTTCAAAAAGGATTCAAAGCAATTACAGAAAAGGAACACAAGGCAATTATAATGCCTGTGCCTGCCTTTGTTACCAGGAAACAATTAGATTTAAAGCATCATAAATATACCCATATCCTGAATCAGGTCTTGTTCTTGCTCCCTGAGTCTAATCTGGCATCTTGACATAAGCAGATGTGTTGATACAAAACAATAAGCAAGGTAAACTAAATTTGGTGGCTGGGATGTGAAGCAGGTAATTCCCACTTCACGCATCCAATTACCAGAATGTCCATCACCTCATTTACAAATGTGACAAGGGTGGGCTCCATGGGAGCCTTGTTGACTCAACAGCATGGCCATGTAAGACTTGACTCCAGGACGCATAGGGGAATTTCTTACTCAATATCAGTTATTATTATTGAAATATCTATTGTCAGTTCTTTCACCGATTTACAAAGAAATGAATATAATTTATCAGTAGATGTATGAAAAGTCTTTCTAGCTCTTGAATATAAAAATAAAGCAAAATACAATTATTATCCTATTAGTAAACATTTAAAGCACTCTAATATCCAGTGTAGGTGACGGTAGGAGAACTGTTTACTCTCATATACTGTTAGTGAGTTTGCAAATCGATAAAACATTTCTTTGCAGAGCAGCTTGCCAGTGACTCGTGTGTTGAAGTGTAACTTCCACCCATCCCCCCACTAGGATAGGCTCTGTTGCCCTTGTGCTCTCATCTCTGGTCTGTTGTATCATTGTTATCTGTCCTGCTTGCTCCTTTCAGAGCCCAGAACCTTGACACATTCCTTACTTACCATTATGGGAGAGAGTACACTTAATTCCTTTTGCTGTGGAAGCTACGTTTCTTCCAGTAGGATAGTCCAGGTTTGGAGTCATTGAGGGGTATATCTAGAGTGTTTCTTACCTCTCTCGGTCACTTTGATTCTATTTCCTATGTATATAATGCAGTGCATTTGTTCCAGCTACTCTTGACAATGATCAGATCAGATCGTAGTGGGAGAAAGTATTTTTTTTCTTCTCTCCGGCACCAGACCATTCCAGTGCCTCGGAGACGAGAGGGGGTGGCATATCCACTCATGCTCCTGGGTTCAGGCTGAAGTTATTTCCCGTGTGACCTGGGCCCTGTACAGCGTGGGTCTACACGTGGGCCTCCTCCCTGATGACAGGAAGACCTTACAGAGAATGGGACACCAAGGGACAGAGTGTGTGGCCTGCTTTGTCTTTGCTGTGCTGTTTCTCAGAATGCTTTTGTCTTGGTGACCAGCTGCAGAAAGAGAGAAATTCAGTGCTTCACGGAGAGGGAGTCTTAGCAGACTCCTGAGAACTAGAAAGAACCCAAGGTGAAGAGGAAGAATGTCAGCCAGTGCATTTACTGAGCTAGGTCCCAGAGTGTCCCTGGGGTAGACACTGTTACGATCTGAGCCCACGCGCAGTGTAGTGGGGGTACAGGGGAACACAGTGACAGCAGAAGCCAAATCAGTATATTTCTCTGAATGGGTTTCAGGCACCAGTCCTAGGAGGCAGGAGGATGCCAGGCCTCAGGGCACATGATAAAGATGGATCTGACCAGGGGAGAGGCAGCTATATCTTTGGCAATGTGTGAGTTGTATCCAAGATAAAAGTATTACTCATTAGTATGGTGATGTTTGCTTTCAAAGTTGATATTATTATAACAAAGGTGAGTCCAGGATTTTGGCAGTCAAATTCTGATAGAAAGGACCCATAAACATTAAAACTGTCAAAGGCAATGACTGCTTTTCGGCCTATCTCAGTTCAGTGATAGAGTTCATTTCTAGATAAAAGTAAGGACTATTCTATGCTACCAAGGAAGCAAGTAGTTCTCCTGCGCTCTGGTAGGTCATGCAGAAGGCAGGCCCTGATCTGAGACACACGTTTCTTGAAAGGCACTCACATAGCAGCCTATGTCTCTAGGAGGGCTAGCATGGGAAATGAGGGTGCAGACTTTATCATGGGCACATGGTTATTGCTTTGGTAGTTTTAAGTAGATTTCTGAAGAGCTGTTATGTGGAAGAGATAATATATGCATATATATATAATATGTACATATAAATATAGCTATATGTACACCGTGAATGTGTGTGTGTGTGTGTGTAGTGTGCATAATAGAACATACAATGTAAATGTTTAACACCGAAACACAACCAGGATCCAGCTTTACCATTCAGTACTCACTTGTTCTCTGCTATTCCCAACGGCAAGGGGGGCTGGGAAAGGAGCTTTAGGTGAAGGGAACTGGGATTACCACGATGGTTTAGACCAGTCACAATTCATCCACCAAGGCTGTCATTTTGCTGCTTAAAAAAAAAAAAAAAAGCTGTGCTCTGAGACATTCATG